CGGGCCCCCACCGCCCCCGGGCCGAGGCAGTCACCGACAACTGTCGGGAGTCAGCAAGAGCTAGGCCGGGCGTGGAGGCGCATGCCTGTCATCGCAGCACTTTGGGAGGCCCAGGCGGGGGGCTGGCTTGAGCCCAGGAGTTTGAGACCAGCCTGGGCAACTTAGCGAGACCCCCATCTCTACAAAAAATAAACAAAAATTGGCTGGGCGTGGTGGCACATGCCAGTAATTCTGCACTTTGGGAGGCCCAGGCCAGAGGATTGCTTGAGCCCAGGGGTTTGAGCAGCCCGGGTAACATAGCTAGACCCAATCGCTACCCCAAAAAAATGAATGAATAAATTTAGGTGGGTGTGGGGGTGCGAGCCTGTAATCCCAGCACTTTGGGAGGTCCAGGCCGGGGGATGGCTTGAGCCCAGGAGTTTGAGACCAGCTTGGGCAACATAGTGAGACCCCCATCTCTACAAAAAATAAACAAAAATTAGCTGGGCGTGGTGGCACATGCCAGTAATTCTGCACTTTGGGAGGCCCAGGCCAGAGGATTGCTTGAGCCCAGGGGTTTGAGCAGCCTGGGTAACATAGCAAGACCCAATCTCTACCATATAAATAAATAAATAAATTTAGGTGGGTGTGGTGGTGCAAGCCCCAGGTCAGAGGATCGCTTGAGCTCAGGAGTTTGAGACCAGCCCGGGAAACACAGCAAGACACAATCTCTACCAAAAAATAAATAAGTAAATTAGGTGGGTGTGATAGTGCAAGCCTGTAATCCCAGCACTTTGGGAGGCTGAGGCAGGAGGATCACTTGAGGTCAGGAGTTGCAGACCAGCTTGGGCAATATAGCGAGACCCTCCATCTCTACAAAAAACAAACAAAAATTATCTGGGCATGGTGGCACGTGCCTGTAATTCCAGCACTTGGGGAGGCTGAGGCGGAAGATTGCTTGAGGCCAGGGGTTCGAGACCAGCCTGGGCAACAGAGTGAGACCTCATCTCTACAAAAAAAATAAAAGAATTAGCCAGGGGTGGAGGTGTGTGCCTGCCATCCCAGCTACTGGGGAGGCTGAGGTGGGAGGATCACTTGAATCTGGGAGGTCGAGGCTGCAGTGCACTAAGATGGCACCACTGCACTCCAGCCTGGGTGACAGAGTGAGATCCTATCTCTAAAAAAAATTAAAAGTTAAAGAAAGAAGAAATACGAAGTGCTAAGGAAAAAAGCTCAGGAGGCAGGGAGGCTGGGAAGGACTGAATTTACACAGAGGTCAGTCAGCCAAAGGCCTCCCTGGGAAGCTGAGCCCACAGACCATCACTTGTGGTGGCTTTTTTGTCTTTCCTTTCCTTTTTATTTTCTTTTTAAGTCGAAGTCTCATTGTCACCCAGGCTGGAGTGCAGTGGTGCAATCATGGCTCAGCACAGCCTCAACCTCCTGGGCTCAGGCAATCCTCCCACCTCAACCTGGGACTAGAGGCATACACACCACACCCGGCTAATTCTTTGATTTTTTTTTTTTAATTTATTTTTTTGAGTTGGAGTCTCACTCCGTCGGCCAGGCTGGAGTGTACTGGTAGTATACTCACAGCAACCCCAGAGTCCACCCGCTGGGCTCCAGCGATCCTTCCGCCTCAGCCTTCCAAGGAGCCGGAACTACAGGCGTGTGCTACCATGCCAGGCTAATTTTTGATTTATTGTAGAGACAAAATCTCCCCAAGTTGCCCAGGCTGGGATTTATTTTTTTACTAGAAATGGGGTCTCACCATGTTACCCAGGGTAGGGTGGGCTCAGGCAATCTTCCCACCTCGGCCTCCCAAAGTGCTGGGATTACAGGCATGAGTCACTATACCTGGCCTGTTTTACCAGTCATACACAAGTGGCAAAAATCTAAACAGTGCAAAAATTCCTATGACACATGCTGTCATCTTATACCATCAAGAGAGAAAAAAACCTTGGCAACTTGACTCCGACAGGCCACACACTATCTTCAGAGATGCCAGCATGGGGCACGCATGCCTTAGATGAGATAAAACATGGTATTTCCAAACACGAGCAGGGAGAGAGACACACACGGGCCCACCCAGTAACCACAGCTCCCACCTTCTGGGACGGTGTGAGCCTTGTCTAATTTTGTGGTCCAGCATTTCACCACATGGACCTTCCTGTAGGGCCCATTCTCTGATTTTCCCAAGAAGAACATCTCTCGAGGGCCTGTGAGGCTGGGTGTAGTCCCCCACACCTGGGCAACGCCCCGGCCCCAATGGCCTCCCTGTACCTTCCACACTCCAACCTACTGCTGGGCCTTTGCACAAACGGTGCTCTGCCTGGAATCCCACTCATCCTTACAGCTCAGTCATCACCTCCTCCAGGGAGCCTTCCCTGATGTCCCTGGCCAGATCCAGCCCTACATGAACGGACCACCCCTACACATTCAACTGGACGTTCATTTCTGGTGTCATTGAATGTCTGTGCCCCCCATGAGACCGTGGGCGCCTTGAAAAGAAGAGTTAAAATCAGCCGGGCATGGTAGCGCGCGCCTGTAGTTCCGGCTCCTCGGAAGGCTGAGGCGGAAGGATCGCCGGAGCCCAGCAGGCGAGGCTGCGGTGGCCGGGAGCGGCCGCCGCACTCCAGTCTGGGCGACCGAGTGAGACTCCAACTCAAAAAAAAAGATGAGTCGCTGTGCTTTTCTCGCCAATGCCGCCCGAGTCCCCACCCCTGGCCTGGTAGGGGCCTGACACATTGCCGTCCTATAAATGAATGAATGCCATTTTCCCACAAGGCACTGAGCCTGCCAGAAGCAAGCTGCTCACAGTCACAGCTCCGGTCAAGTCCAGTGGCCGGACTCCCCTCCCACCCCCGCCCCCGCCCCCCCAGAGCCTCCCCACCCCCATCCCAAGCCGGGCCACTCACCCTCTTCTCGTGGTTAGGGACAATGCAGCGGACGAAACTGGGGTTGGTGTTGCTGAGTGTGGCCATGAGGCGGCTCAGAGACTCCTTGTAGAGCTGGCCCACCGTCCGGAACATGCCCCGGCGGGGACGGCCTCCGGGCGGGCCGTCCCCAAGGCTGCTCACCTGCTCCAGCCCCACGATGCCCTCCACTGTGGGGAGAAGAGCAGGCGCGGGGGGAGGTCAGGGTCAGTTCTAGGGAGCCGGGTTGGCCAAAGGTCAACGGTCTTGTCATCTATAGGGCCTGGCGCTTTACATAGGAAGCACCTCGCATGACCTGGAAGGTAGGTCTCATGGGCGCCATCGGACGGACAGGCGCACTGAGGACCAGGAGGGCGGGAGACTGTGCTCAAGATCACACAGCTTAGGAGGGGAGGATCCAGGATTAGAGCCCAGGAAGGGGAAGCCTGAGTCCTCTCAAGCCCAGGCCTCTGAGGTCTTTTCTCTTCAAGGGCACGGCCTCCGTCTTCCCCACCAACAAATGGCATGGCGGTAGCGGCGTTGGTGGTGGCAAAGGGTTGCCCGGCAGTGACACTCAGCCAGGCATCGCTCAAAGCAGTTCACATTCAGTGGCTTTATAAGCTTACAAGAATCACACCCACTTTACAGATGAGGAAACAGAGGCCCAGAGAGGGACAAGGGTGATAAACCCAGTGCAGTTGCATGTCAAGAAGCAGAAACGTATCAAGAGAGGCAACTGAGTCTTGCTTTGACGTGAGACATTTGCAACAGGGCACATTCACCATTTTTCCAGAAGGGCCCCACGCCACGGAACTATTTTCTCTCCTGCCACTTGGGGCGCCACGTCAGCTGGTGAAAATGCTGACTCCCGCCTTCCGCACTGGTCTCCAGCCCTATGTCCTGACTCAGGCCAGGGTCTCAGGGACCCCCAGCAGGGGCAGTACCTTATGTCCTGCCAACCCAGCCCACCCCGCAGCCAGCAGCCAGCTGGATAATCCGTGCTTGGGGCCTGGGGCCTGGCAGGGGCTCAAACATGCTTCGCCCCAAGTCTCACTCTGTCGCCCAGGCTAGAGCCCAGTGGCACACTCATGGCCACTCCAGCATCGACCTGCTGGGCTCCGGTGATCCCTCCACCTCAGCCTTCCTAGTAGCCGGAACTACAGGCGTGTGCTACCACGCTCAGCTAATTTTTTTTATTTATTGTAGAGACGAGGTCTCACCAAATTGCCCGGGCTGGTCTCGAACCCACGGGCCCAGGCAATCCACTCGCCTCGGCCTCCCAAAGTGCTGGGATGACAGGCTGAGCCACTGAGCCTGGCCGATGATGATCTTTTTTTTGAGTTGGTATCTCCCTCTGTCGCCCAGGCTGGAGTGCAGTGGCACAATCACAGCTCACCGCAGCCTCGACCTCCTGGGCTCAGGTGATCTTCCTGCCTCAGCCTCCCCAGTTGCTGGGACTACAGGCGGGTGTTACCACACCCAGCTAATTTTTTGATTTACTGTAGAGACGAATGTGCTGTCCAGGCTGGTCTCAAACTCCTGGTCTCATGTGATCCTCTCGTCTTGCCTTCCCAAAGTGCTGGGATGACAGGCATGAGCCACTGAGCCCGGCCAATCGTGTAGTAACTTCTTATAGCACAGATAAAGCTAAGATTCTGGGACCCGATGTTCTGGGTTCAAATCCTGACTCTGCCACTTACTGGCTGTGTAACCTTAGCAAGTTACTTAACCTCTCTGTGCTCCAGTTTCTTCATGAGTTTAATGGGGGTCATAGTACTAACACCTGTCCCACAAGGTTGTTCAGAGGATTCTGGGTGTCAGTAGCCATAACAGGGCTTCACATGGTGAGTGGCACATAGTAGGTGCTCAGGAAACGCCGGCTGACAGTGTCACACTCGTTTGTGCTTTCCCGGGAAGTTTAGTTAGAAGAAAGCGTTCAGCTGCTACAGAGTCTAGAAACTTCTGAGGGAGCTGGCAAGGAGGGAGAGGAAGAGCGATACGCCCCCACATCGAGAAAGGAGGGGGTAGGTGTTCGAGACGGGGATCCCAGCCCAGCGGGATCCAGACAAGCCTCACCCGTTGATGCACAGAGACACCCACCCCCTGGCGGAGACGTGGCGGAGCGGCACCTCCCTGCAGATCCTGGGGGCGGCGGCAGAAGGGAGCCAAGGAAAGAGGACTGCTGGAAGCCCCCGTGCCCTGGGGAGTGAGGACAGATGGGGGGCAGGAGGGGGGAGATGGCGGGAGAGACGCATGCAGAGTGAAGGAGAGGCAGTGGCGAGAAGAAAAACAGGATAGGTTAGAGTCAACAGCACCGGGCAAGGCGAGGGAGGAAGCCTGAATGTCGGTCATGAGCTTTTTAAAGTCCTGTTCACCTTCGTATCTACCCACTGAGGGCTTCAATGCTGGCCAAAAGGATGAGTATCCACTGAGAATTTAGTGCCAGGAAACAAAATCTCCCAAGAAGCTGTATCTGTTTGATCAGGTATCTCTTTTGGCTTTGGCCGCTAGGAAGCTCAAGGACTAACTTGATGCTCCCAGCCCCCTTGTTTCTTGATCTCATTTACCTTTTCCCCTGGGCTGCCAGGATGCTGGACACCCAACCCTGGGCTCAGAGGAGCTGTAGTAGGGATCAGGCAAAAATGGCCCTAATTCCACGTTCTTCCCCAGTTTCACACCCTTTGCTTGTGACTTGCAGCTCCTTGAATCTGGCTTGGCCTGTGACTAGGTGTGTGGAGGAAGTGACACAGTGCCAGCTCTGAGCTTAGGGCTCAGGAGGTTTTGCAGCTTTCCATGCTGTCCATGAAGGCAGCACACATTTTTTTAAATTTTAGCTTAATTTTCATTAAAAAAATTTTTTTATTATTATTATTATTACTATTATTAATTATTTTGAGTCAGAGTCTTACTCTGTTGCCCAGGCTGAAGGGCAGTGGCATGATGATGGCTCATGGCAGCCTTCAATTCCTCCTGAGTATCTGGGACTGCAGGTGCGTGCCACCACACCTGGCTAATTTATTTTTTAATTTTTTTTTTTGTGAGGTCTTGCTATGTTGCCCAGGCTGGCCTTGAACTACTGGGCTCAAGCAATCCTCCTGCCTTGGCCTCCCAAAGTGCTGGGATTACAGGCACTCTTACTACTAATTAATTTTCATCAGAATCTCTTAATTTTTTAAGGGAACACATGCAATCTACAAATAATGAGTTTACCTCTTTACAATATTCATATGCTTGTTTTTCCTGGTCTGATTGCATAGGCTAGCATTGCTAAAAGCAACATGTAAGAGCAGTGCTGACAATGAGCGGCCCTGCCTTGTTTCTGGTTAAGGGGGAGTGTTTTATCCTTGAGTATGATGCTGGCGTGACGTCTGCATCTATCCTTCTGTTCATCCGTCCACCCACCCACTCACCTATCCATCCATGGTTCCACCTTGATATCCATCCATCCATCCATCGACTCATCCATCCATCTCTCCATCACCCACCCACTCACCCCTCCATCTTGACATCCATCTATCCATCCATCATCCACCCATTCACCCACCCACTCACCTGTCCATCCATCTTGACACCCACCCAACCATCCACTCAACCGGTCATCCACCCACCCACCCATCCATCCAACATCACTCACTGGACACAATATTTGTGAGACGGTCCTGGGTCTGAGTAGACAACTCAGGGTCAGACCTCAGCCTCTGACACAAAGGTGCCCACGCGTGGGTTGAGAGGGGGACATAAGACCCCCAGGTCAGGGTCGGGGAGGCCTGTCCTCACCATCTCTCCAGATCTCCGCTGTCAGCCGGTCCGTGCTCTGATGAAGCAGGGCTGCCACGCTGTCGTTCAGAGGGTCCATGTTTTTCATCAGCCACTCGTTGGCCTTGTAGTCGACCTGCGGGGAGTCGGTAGAGGAGGGGGTGACCTGCAGAGTCGCCGGCTCTCCAGGTTACCTAAGGAGCCTTCCAGAGGCCCTGAGACCACCCCCCTACCCCCCCCCCCACTACAGATAAGCACGCTGGTGCTACCTTGTGTTCACATGTGGAACTGCACCCCTCTCTTCCGTGCCACCTTCCCTGGCCTCTGGGATCTGACGCGACCCTCAGGCGCCCCCATTAAAACTATCAGTCTCGCCAGGCTCCGTGGCTCAGCCTGTAATCCCACGCCTTTGGGAGGCCAAGGTGACTGAATTGCCTGAGCCCACGGGTTCGAGACCCGCCTGGGCAACTTGGTGAGACCTCATCTCTCCAATTTACATAAAAAATTAGCCGGGCGTGGTAACGCACGTCTGTAGTTCCAGCTACTGGGAAGGGTGAGGCAGAAGGATCGCTGGCGCCCAGCAGGTCGAGGCTGCGGTGGCCGGGAGCGGCCACTGCACTCCAGCCTGGGCGACAGAGTGAGACTCCAACTCAAAAAACAAACAAACAAACAAAAAACTATCAGTCTCATGTCCCAACGGTCTGCATTGGTCTCCCTCCCAGATAAAGAACTTTGTGACGATAGAAACCATATCTGACTTGCGTCCCCAGGTTTGCTGAGCACAGGGCAATGCACACAAAAGACCTTCGTACATGTTTGTTCAGTGAATACAATGCACACAGCTCTCCTCCTGGTGAACTCCTACTCATCCCTCAAAACCCACAGCAAATGTCCCCTCCTTAAGGAAGTTTTTGCAGACCTCATCAGACAGAGGCTCTCCTGGCCCCTGCCTTGTTTGTCTGAACAGGATGCCCCTGTTTTCCCCTGCACCTGCAGCCAGTGGAGACCCCTTAATCATCCCCGCCACCAATTGCCCTGAGGCCGGCTGCCAGCCCTTACCTTGCCCGCATAGTGGAGGACACTGAAATCAGCCTGATCCCGCAGGTGCCTGGGCCGCTGGAACTTGGGGTGGCTGCCTTGTTCCTGGGCCACCTTCTCCACAAATGACTTGTCCGTGGCCTTTGGGAACCAGCACTCCTCGTCCAGCAGGGCCAGGAGTCCAGGGGGATTGGCCTGACCATTCACAGGAGTGGGAGAGGAAGTCAGATCCTCAAAGGCTGGGCACGTAGGTTGCTGCTAACTTTTAGCTCTTCTAAGTACCACTTGGGCTGAGTGCAGAGGCTCATGCCTGTAATCCCAGCACTTTGGGAGGCTGAGGCAGGAGGACTGCCTGAGCCCAGGGGTTTGAGACCAGCCTGGGCAACTTGGCAAGACCTCATCTCTACAATAAATAAATAAATAAAAATTAGCTGGGTGTGGCAGCACGTGCCTGTAGTTCTGGCTACTTGGAAGGCTGAGGTGGAAGGATCGCCTGAGCCCGGCAGGTGGAGGCTGCGGTGGCCGGGAGCATGCCACTGCACTCCAGCCTGGGCGATGGAGTGAGACTCCAACTCCAAAAAACCCATAAAAAGCAAAACAACAACAAAGTACCGCTCGGACATGTGACTCCCCGTGAGGAAAGTTACAGCTAGAGTCACTGATGTGACCAACTCGAGCCAGGCCTGCGGCAGCCACGTCCCAGGTTCTGACAGGCTAAGGGTCACCACGGACCCAGGAGCAGGCACGTCATCCTCCCCTCGGGACCGGCCAGGCAGGACAGACCGCGGGCCACGGGCCAGCCGGGGAGACAGCCGGGGCTCACCGGGCGCTCGATGAGGTCGATGCAGGGCTGCAGGTCCAGGCCGAAGTCCAGGAAGGTCCAGGGGATGCCCTCGCGCTGGTACTCCTCCTGCTCCAGCACGAACATGGTGTGGTTGAACAGCTGCTGCAGCTTCTCGTTGGTGTAGTTGATGCACAGCTGCTCGAAGGAGTTCAGCTGCGGGGAGAGGACACATGAGGGGGGGATGGGGGGGAGACCCAGGAGGGGGACAGAAGCGGGGATGCAGGGGACGGCTGGGATGACCAGGCGGTCGGAGACAAGGGAGGGGAGGGAGACCAGGGAAGGGCGAGGCTGGATCCGGGGAGGTGGGAGCAGAGACCTGGGAATAGAGGGCAGAGACCCAGGGAGTGGGGAGCAGAGTGGGGAGAGACCATGGGGGGGAGGTGAGACAGGTGGGGGACGGAGACCCGGAAAGAAGGCGCAGAGACTCGGGGAGTGGGAAGCGAGACAGGGAAGGGGGAAGGGGGCTGGGGGTGGAGACGGGGTGGGGGGGTAGGTGGAAACCCAGGGAGAGCGCTAGGAACAGAGCG